TACATTCCCCTATTCCATACTACGAAACAACTTTTGACAGAAACGGAAAAGCCTAAAGAAACCCACAGGCGGGTCTTGATCTCTATGTAATTCCCTTTCGGCTTCCCGGACATGACGAGCGAGTGCTTCGCTTTGCTTCTGGACCGCCTGACTCATATTTTCACTGTACTTTTGAGCCTCTTTGATCTTCGCCTCTTGATGGACGATTAAGGCTTACAGCTCGTCGAGCTTTGCAAGGGCTTGGTCTTTTTATCGTAGTACTTGACCGTACTGAGCTAGCCTGTCTCTTTCTTTGCAGCATAGCTCAGTGAGACTTCTGTTGAATCTTCGGTTGGCCTCTCGCTCTTGCCGTATTTCTGACCGAGTCCTTGTGAGATCTTGTAGCAAGTCCTTGATCGTTTGAGCCTGTTTTGCTGATTTGGCCTCAAGGCATGCTGATTGGGCGGTTATTTCTTGAAGTTGGCTATCCGAGCTGGTTCTAGCAGCTTTGGATGCTCGGATAGCTTGCTCGTTAGAGTCAGTACATTGATCCTTGAGGCGCTCTATTTCATGATCCTTTTTCTTGCATTGCCTCTGTAGACCGTCTATGGTGAGGATAGATTCTTGTTCTCTTTCTTCAAGGGCCCTCATCTGGGCTCCCATGATTTCTATCCTCCGGGTCAAGGCGTCGACTTGAGTTTGAAGCTCTTCACTGTTTGAACATGTAGCGAGTCAGGTGGATGGTTGAGACATCCCTCTTTTCCTTCTCCACTCCTCGTAGTCACTGGAGACAGCTACTAGAGCTTTTCCTAGCTCTCTATCTCCCATAAAGACTGGTTTCTCCCATGCTCTTCTCACAGCTAGTGAATTGGCGATCGTGCATGGGTCTCCGAAGAAACACAGTCCTCCGAGCTCCCCTAGGGATATTGTAGTTTGAGTTCTCATGAGTTGTCTCATAGCTACTCTTGGTGAGTAGGCTATGAAACCCCTGAGTCCTATCAATGGTATGCTCAGGTAATCCCCACATCTGATGAGGACTGGGCTGGGTCGGAACCAAGGGCAAACCCAGGATAATTGGTTGGCGTCCCATTGTTCCAACTCGACCTTCCACTCTGAGGTCAGGCGTCGGTGGAGAGGGATTTTGGAGAAGATTCTCAAAGGGTCGGGGAACATCCCCATGTGACTAGAAGCGTAGAAATGTGTGATCCCCCACACAAAAAGTAGTGAAGAGCAACATCGAAGTGTTTTTCCTTGCTTCTGGCGGAAAAATTCCACCGAGAGCAAGGTTTCGGCAAGAATTGCAAGCAAGGGACTCTTCGAGTTCATGTTCCAAGCGAAGAAGGCGTCTATGATGGCTTGATCTACTGTGTCGATGTGGAAGGGAAACAAGATTGTTCCAAATATGATCAAGGTCAGGGTTTTATTAAAAGCAGTCCATTCTGCCTTTTCAGCAAAAAAGGACAGAAGTTATCTGTTATGTACAAATATTAAGCATGAAGTTATCTGTTATATACAAATATTAAGCATGAAGTTATCTGTTTTTTGTTAAGCGCATTCTTTACAACTATTAAGCATGAAGTTATTTGTTATCTTCATCTTCATATGTTCGTAAAATATAAATCTGGTAGTAATTAAATGTATTTTGTACAACTGTGGTTCTCAATATACACTCTCTGTTACATGGAGATAGTCTGCATCATCTGAATAGGGATATTGTGCAAGCTGGGACGGTAAAACCCAATCAATAATGTAATTGTCAAAATAAAAAAAATGATACAAAAAATAGTAACCATGGTCCAAAAATCAGTCACTTGTCCATAACCAACTTAACAGTTATATTACATATGAATAAACTATACAACATTCATCAATGAAGATGAACAAATAATCAAATACAATATCTACATTTCTATTCCTAGATGAGGATGTTAACTCCTGATTCAATAACCATGACTTGTCGATGAAGATTTTGAGGATGAAGTACCTATCTGCATACATATTCTTCTCGAAATTTCTGAACTTGCTCCTGTACAATATGAAGAATGTCATAATAAATTATATTCATAGTAATAAAAAACAAAACAATAATACAATGACTTTAATGTTTACCGATATGTAATGAGGCATGCTTTTCCCATTCACTTTGCTCACATCATCCCACAACTCCATATATTTTAAAACAAACAATCCACAATCATACCTGCACAATTGAATGTAGTTATTACACACATTACATACAACATTTTGCAAACAAAATTTCAACTATAATAACATACTAACATGTTTGGTTGAATTGGCAAGTCCTCCTTTGTAACCTTAAGTTCTCCAGTGGTCCTCGATGACTTTGTTTCCAACCGCGACAATAGATGTTCAAAACATTGCAACTGTTCACAATATTACATTATTTGCCAAATAAACATAGCTCTGAATTAACTATATTACCTACGTAAACAACTTAAAACAAATATTTACTATAGCTCTATCAATTGGTTTTCGTGATCTATTATCATGGCCCAATGAATCTAATATAAACAGTTCTCCATCCTTACATTTCAGCACATAACACCACCAATGACCATTGTGCACAGTGGGAGCAAAGATCTGAAATAGAAAAAACTCTGGTTAATTGAATTTTACAAAATGTAAAATGTTTGTCATGCACATAACACCACCAATATTATACAAAATGTTTGTCATGCAAATACAATTCTTCATTGTAGCATTTCATCAAACACTTGTTGGACATTAATATAGCATCACAACTCAATTAACCCTAAACCCTACATAATACTTTCATTACAAACCCAATCAACGATAAACAGAAAACAAAGCAAGAATGCGCAAATACAATTCTTCGTTATAGCATTTCATCAAACACTTGTTCGACATTAATATAGCATCACAACTCAATTAACCCTAAACCGTGAAAAACACATTCATTACAAACACAATCAAAGATAAACAGAAAAGAAAATAACAATGGAAACCCAATAAAAAATACATACAAAATCAAGCAAATGATGTTAAATGAACACTCACCGCAGGGTCGCTCAAGCGACAGACAGTGATGTTTAGCTCCAACGACACGGAGGAAGACAAGCGACAGGAAGTCGAGCGCCGTGAAGAGCGAGACGGAGAAGACAAGCAAAAATTTATCCTAAGTCGAACGAGAATGTGTCAAGCGAAAAATACTGTACCTTCTTCAAACATATATTTCGTTTTTTACCATAACATCCCCCATTTTTACAATATTACATCTCTGACCCCCTACAATTTTACTAATCAAACCGTTATTTTTAATTAATTTATTTTTTACCCCAGTTGTGTTTTCCGGTTGTCAAAGTATCGTTTTAGCTAGAGAAATACACATGAAGAAGAAAAAAAATTACAAAAATGCAGCCCCTTGTGAATGAAGAAGATGAAGAAGTTGATGGTGGAGAAGCATATGATACAAGCCAAAATGATGAATTCATGCAGTTCTTTATTTTCTCCTTGTGAATGATTAAGGAAGTGAGAAGATGTAGTTAGATTTGCTTCCCATGCATGATGATGATAGTTAAGTGTTGGCAATGCTAAAGGAATTCATGTAGTTCTTTATTTTCTCTTTGTGTATGAATGATTAATAAAGAATATCACTGATGTGTCTCCTCTACCTACTGATGCTTTGTCATTTTCATGCTGGAAGGTATCTGTGACAATGCCTTGGCCCCCTCCAGATGCTGTTTCCCCTTTTGTTTCATCTTGCCTTCAAGTTTCGTACCCTCAAACTATTTCATTCACAATTAAGTTATCTTTTTCTTCCAGGACAACATTATGGTTCAATACTTCGAATTCTGCACTTCTTTTAACCACTCGTATCTAGCTATTCTTTTCAATTTTCAAATATATAAAAATCCAATTGTTAGGTTATGAAAATAACTATTGGTTACTTGTAATAGTGAGTCCCTTTTACATAATCATGATACATATATATTATATGGATGGTTTATGCGGAGTGATTTGTAAATAAATGTGTAGAATGAAATTTGAGATTCACATGATTTCACTGCTAACATGTTTACTCCGCTTTAATGAAAGAGTAACACTACGCCTAAACAGGTGTGCACTAAATAACTGCTACATGCATGTCCTTATTTTTTGGGTAACTTTATCGGTGCAAAAATATTATAGATCTCTAAAGAAAATAATTCATATAAATTACTTTTTATTTTGTGATAAATTATTTTTAAGTAATTCATCTTTACTTTTATTCTTAAAATTTTAAAAACTCATTCTTTCTTCTTATTTATTATATTTTATTTTTTAAATAATTTAATAAAATAACTTATCATATCACATTTAAAAAAATTATTAAAACATTTAAAAATCTCAACAACCAGACCATCTTTCCTGCATGCAGATGTGGTAAATTAAGAGCGAAATGCAGAAGAATCCAAACCATCGATTTAAGAAAACGAAGAATAAAAGATAAAAGAACAGTTATGGTTACGTTTAAGAATGAATATTTAAATGGTATTTAAATCCTACAACAGTGTCCATGAATCAATTAGAAAAAGGGAATTGTTTATTGGGTGGGGCAAGGTGATGAAAAAATAGCATGTTCCCGACACAAATGGACATTGACATTGTCAACGTAGCATTTCTTGTGGCTTACAAACATAAAACAAAGCCACTTTACAGCAGAAGCTAGTTACATCCAAACATGAGCGACTGATACAAAAGAAAAAATGAAAAAAAAAAAAAAACTTTTGACAGATTTAATTCAAATGTCATTTTTTTCCTATGATTCAAGTTTCTAATACCTGTTGACTGACCTGTACAATTGTAAACATTTTTTTCTTTACCGTGGGAGCATCCTTTTCAAACCCTTGCCTGTAGACATTTATAATATAATTTACAGTTACAACTGAAGCAACTTAATCTGCCAGACTACAAAATTGGATCCAAATATGCTGACAATTACCAGCAAAACCATTTCTAGCATTACTTTCTATGCTTCCACCCGACATGTATTATCATTTTCAAATGTCATCATTGGAGATCCTGTTGGACCATATAATCTCAATTTCAAGTGTTCGGGAAGAACCATCTTTGTTACCGTCATGATTAAGACTGAATAATCCACTATAAACCCCCTCTGATACAACTTTATCAATTTGGATGGTTACTCTTCCAAGAGTTGTCTGGAAAAAAAGCACAATATTTGCAGTCAATAACTAAAGCACTACAGTGTTAGATTGTGCTTGGTTGAGAAAGGGGGAAGGTGAAAAAGGGGCATGGTGATTGTTTTCACCCAAGAGTGAAGTACATCTATGACAGAAATACGCAGGTATCCTTCCAGTTATCAACAAAATAACACTAATATCCATCATAAAACGAAAGGTAGCCATTCATCCTTTCAGAAGAGGAATAGGCATGCACTTACTACGCATAAAAATAGAGAATGAGTAAATCACTTACGGGATGAATATCTAGTTACCTTCCCAAAAGTATTCTTGCTTTTGCATATTATATGCAGCTTTTGGCCCTTTGGAGGTACATCAAATGCCCAAGTGAACCCTTCTTTCCATTCGGGAGAAGTACTATGATTCACTACCTAACAGAACCAAAAACCATAAACGGTGTCAGTAATCTTCTACAATAAATTTAATTCTCAAAAGAGACAGCACACAAGTCAATTAATAACAGCATAAATAAATTTTGGACAATGAAAAGTATATCTGCTGTTTTCCCTATGTAAAACTGGAGTGATTCATAGTTAAATCATACCCAATATGATTTCAGTGAGGTGGAATTCTATAATAAACAACTCAATCATTTTTAAGTCGTTGGAGATTTGAGAAGTTGAAAATAATGACAGGCATGCTAAATGTAGGGTACTCCTTGATCTATGAATATTTTAAATACAATGATTTCAAAATTACTGCAATTGCTCATCAGCACGGTACTTAAATGAAAACTGGGAATAATAAGAAATGAAACTTGTAATAACTAAAAGAAGAAAAGATTAAAATTAACGAAAAGAACTGCATAGAACAAAAGACTAACAGTTTCAGTTAAAAAATTATTAAAGAACTTCAACCTTATACATTGGCTAAGACATAATATTAGTGCTTTAGCAGATTTTCAAATTAACCATGATAATACCTTGGTTTGTTTTGGAGGACCATTCCCTATTGTTAACCGGCAGAATGCGTTAGTGCTTCCCATAGTTTGCCTGAGGTTGTTTCCACGCTTAATGGTGACAGTCAAACAACCTGGTAAGCAGTGCAGAAGAGTATCTGCCCTCTCATGGAAACTAGGTGGGCAGGTTTTCATCAGCATTTGCAAAATGGGGATGGCTTCAGCAGCAATCATAGCTTGTGACTTTGCTATATCTATTGGCATAGTTGACCAAGATTGTCTTAGCAAACAAAACGTGTCAAGTACAGAGTCCTGAGCCGCTTCACCACCAGATTTAAGTGCCCCTACCAAATGAGGAATGCAAAGAGTTGCTGCTTCAGATGTGTGTAGCTTAGGAAAGTTCATGAATATCACATGCAGAGTTTTCAAAACCGCTTCATTGATTGTGGCAGTTGACCATAACTCTCTTTCCAGTGCAGCTGCATAACAAAATTGGTGAAATTAAATTTTTTTTCTCATTAATATAAATGAGATTGACACAGACGAAAAGAAATATTTCACTAGCTCTCAAACGGGAAAATCTTTACTCATCCTCCATTTCTCTAAAATGAAACTAAAAAATAGAAATATACATTGAGCAAAAGATTTATACTACTACAGAAAAGAAAAGAGAATGGAGTCTAGTTTTTTTTTTTTAATCAAAAGGAAAGAATGTTATTGCATTACTAAACAAGTTGTAATCCTAACCAAGTTAGCATTACAACGTAGCATTCTTAATACAATTAAAAGAAAGGAGACTAATTTATTTGTCCATGTTGACAATTTCCAATTACTCTAGAAAGCATGCATATGAAGTGTAACTTGGCAATGCTTCTGAAAAACTCAACAAATCAAATCAAATTTGTTTTTCTAGTCCTGATTAGTCCAACATGAAACAGTAAATCACAGGCCGACAACATCTGTTATTCAAATTATATTGGTTAATAAAAGAAACATTTAATAAAAGAAGCATTTCCCATTAACTACTACAGCTATTTCTGAAAACCTGATCCTGGTAAATTTATGTAATCGTTAACATGAAGCTGTCATACAAGAATGAGCTTGATCCATGAAAAACATGCAGAAAATGAATTCCACATTAATCCGTTAAACCAAAATAGATAATGTAAAACAGTCATGACTAGAGCTATGAGACATATGCCAAAAGTAGTTGCTAAAAGTATGCGTCAGTCTGAAACAAGGAACATTGTCAATAGGGACGATCATGATGTACCTGTCAAAGACCTGATCAACTCATTTGATACATATTCTTGCAATGTATGTGTAGAAAACAAAAATTTGATCAGTAAAGCGGCTTGTGCAGCAACTTCTGTGTTTGGAGACAGCAGCAATTCCTGAATCACCAGTATGCCCCCAGCTTCTGCAACAGCTCGTCTGTTTGTCCTGCTGTTCATGACAAAGTTTTGCAATGCACATATAGCTACCACCTTCATTTCTTCAGTTGGCTGATCTTCAAGTAAACTTATCAGTGCACGGCATGCAGAAACAGAGGCACTAGATCTAGCATGTCCTTCAAGCTGGGAAAGATCTCCCAAAGCTAAAGCAGCAAGAAGCTTACCAGACTGGGATCTGGTTTGGGGATCCAATAGATACTGGGACAAAGGCGCTATAGCATACTTAGATACCTTCATCTCTCGTACTCTCACATTGTTAAATAAAGCTTCTAGTAATCTACCAGATGCTTCTTCACAATGATGAGATCTTAAAAGGTCCAACAGAGCCTCAATAACCCCAGCTTCCATCATCTGCTCAGCACTTGAAGCATCACTTCTGTCATGAACTATTAAAGCATTAAGGGCTATGCTAATTGTACTCTCTAGTGTTGAGTGCAGAAGTTTTACAAGAACTACCACAGGAACTTTAAAATAGTAATCGGCATTGGAATGTAATACATTAGAGAGAACTAAAGCAGCTGATTCCCATAGTGCATGTGGTGGCTGAGGGTCTTCTTGAATAATAACCTTTGCAAGCTCAAAAATACCTCCTGCATCAGCAACTGCCTTTGGCCAACTTGTGGAAATTTTTTCCAATGCTTTAATAGCTGTTTGCTGTAAGTTTAATATTCCAATTCCTGCAAGCTGTACGAGGGGCACGACTGCATTCTTAGTTGTAATATCTTGCTGAAAATGTTCCTGTGCAAGAAGATGAGATAACAGTTCTGTGCCAAGCTGCTGAATAGCTTGGGATGGGGATTCCAGAAAAGAAATCAAGGGTTCAATAACTTGGCTTGGAGTAAGTTTCAAGGTTGCAAGACTTTGTGGTTTCTCCAATATATTTACAAGTGCTTGTAACGCACTATGCTGTCCCCATAAGTTGAAATCTCGACGGAGCAAAACATGGAAAAGAGGTTCTACAATTTCTGCGGCATCTGAACTTCTTGCAATTGCACTACTATTAGTTAAAATGCGAAAGAGCTCAGCTATCGTGGAGCATAAAGAGCTAGGTGCTAATTGTAGTAGCTTGAGACAATTATCAATAATGCCAGCTTTCACCATGTCTAGTTTACTTGGAGTCCTATCTTTGCCCAATTTGATAAGAGTAGATATGGTAGCCTCGATAAGCTGATAGTTTGTACCAGAAACCAAGCTCACAAGGAGATCAACAACATTGTAGGCTGCTGCAAGCTCTACCTGTTGTTCATCGTCCAACAATCTCTCAAAAGCACAAACCCCAGACTCTATTGCTGTCTCAGAACCAGACTGCAACAGTAATATAAGGGGTTCTAGGCATTCTGAAGCAACTGGATCTGCTCTGATCTTGCTATTCCCAAAAAGAACAAAGCAGAGTTGGGCAGCATGGCTCTTCAGTTCCAATGATGAAGCAGAAGACAGTATCTTGTATAAACATTTAAGAGGGTTTCCTTCCATATCAGTAAGAAGAGATACTTTTGAAGAATTCCCTGAAGTTAACTTGATCAAGGACATGAGAGCTGCCTCCTGCTCATTCCCTGATGTTGTGTTAAGCATGTCAACCAATGGCTGAATGGCCTGTTTTGCTAATTCTGAGTCTCTAATGTTGTCAGCATCAAAAAGTTCATGAAGTGCTCTTGCTGCACTGTATCTAGCATTTCTTGAGCCAAGACGCAAAACGGCTATGAGTTGATTCAATGAATTAATTGATGCTTCGTGTTTAATAAGATCAGAGTTGCAAAACAATATTCTCAGTAGCTCAGAAATTGCAGCCTCAGTTGAATCTTGAGGACTCAACGACAGGTATTTGTTCAAAGCTTCAAGAGCTCCAGCTTCAGCTAGGATTAATTTATTGCTATCACTTCCATCTGCAATAGATATCAAGAGTCTAACAGCAACAGGTGGAGCACTAGGCCTTTCTGGTATTGGCCTCAGGAGATCCACTAAGAGCGGTATAGATTTCCTGGCAGTAGACCCCACTTTTACATCGTCAATTTCAAAAAGGTGATCCAGAACAACTTGATCAGGGTTTTGTACCAAAGAAAATTCTTCTGATAAAGCCATGAGATTAGGCATATCTGACTCAACATGCCCTATAATAGTTATCAATCCAGCAACAGCACCAGAATTTGCAATGGCAAGATCTATTCCCTTATTGCCATTACAAACAAGACTGGCCATAGCCTGGGCAGCAAAATATTTATCAATGACTTCATCAGATCTTAGCAGAAGCGTGATAGAAGGTATAATGCGCATTGTCACAGGAGATAGAACAACATTTGCATCCTGAAATAAAATGGCCAAGAGCAAGGCATTGATCCATATTCCTTCTGTATCCTCATATTCTGCCTGTCAAAAGTTGTAGGCAAAAAATCTATTTAATTCAGCAACTGAACCCATGCCATGCACAAACAGACAAAAGCAAATGTGCAATCAAGATATGTAGATTAGCAATACAATAACAATCGTAAGACCTAAATCTATTATTTGGAGAAAAACAGAATGTATTATGTACATTAATTGAGACTTTAATCTTTTCACTTTTTACTTATGTTTATAATTCAGTCTTAATCTCAAGCTTAATAGAAATAAGAGGGCCTGAACTCCAATTAAAATAAAATTATTAATAATGAAATTCAAAAGGGAGGGAAAAGAATTCTCGAAGAAGCTGTTGAAGAAAAAACATAGTTTAGAAAGCATACATGTTAAAATTATGAGATAACTAACTTATATTTTAAAACATAAATTCATATTATAAAATGATAAGTCAGTATATTTTTTTTTTTATACATGTTAGGCTACCCAAAGCTTGGAATCTTTTCCACAATTATTTTTCTTCATTGTTCACTTCTTTCTTCCCAATCTGCTTCTTTCACCGCACTCTATCCAAAATTTGGTCCACTTATAATGAGTTCTAAAATGCCAATTCAGATGCCCTTAAAGTTTTTGTTGCTTTTCCAATTGCAAATAGATATTTTCCAGAAAGCTTAAAGCAATGCCATCACACAGATGAGATGGCACATTTCAGTATTTGCTATATCAGCACAAAATCTGAAGAGACGAGCTATAGAAGACAAAGGGAACTGATAAAGGCAACTTTAATAAAAAGCGTAACTGTAACATAACCTGTGGATTTGAAGTATATCTTCCAAGTTTGTCAGAGAGAGTTTCAAGTCCACCAGCTTCCAGAATTGTGAGCTTGCTCTTTATATGGAAAGAAGCAATAACTGAGAGCAACCACATGGCAATAGTGCTTCCCAAGGCAGTGGCAGGATCAGGAATATCAAACTCATCAACTTCTTGAAAAGCACTTCTCTCCATAAAACCTTTAGAAGTGAGAATTTCAATTTCTAACGAAGAATAACTACAACTCTGCTTTATCATTTCAACTAAAGAATATATTAATGGTTTCAAACACCCAGATACATCAAGTGAATCCATTGCAAACTGTTTCTTCTCCTTTGCAGCACAAATTAGTAGGGCAGCCCCTCCAATTTTTACTTCAAGACATGAGGAGTTCATTATTCTATTGGCCAATGAACCAATGGATCTGGAACTAGCCGATAACAAATCACCAAGAACAACTGGCTGATCGCCACAAAGTCTTGATAGAATTTTAATTGCCTTCTCTTGCACAAGGGAAGACCCCTCAGCCAGGCAGCAGACAAGAAGTTCTAAGCTTGGCGGTATTTCAGCCAGAGCTGACCATGGAGAGTAATTGAAGCTGACACCCTGTTTTGTCCTCGCTAGCAGTGCAATTACTTCTAAAGCATCTGAAGCATCAGTTCCATCCATATCCATAGCTCTTAAGGAATCAACAAGTGCAAGCACAGTGAAACGACATTGAGCACTCCCCTTGAGAACATCACCTGCAGGAAAATGCTTCAATAATTGATGAAGTGCACGAGATGCATTTTGTTTGCCTTCCAATGTCCCTTCTGCTAGAACTCTAGTTAAAGCCGAAACAACATCTTCAGCTAGAGCCTCAGCAGCAATGAAAGGATCAAAGAGAAGATTGGCCAATGCAGCAACAGCAGTTTCAGCAGCATCAACGGATGATGTTTTAGCTAACTTGATTAGTGGCTCAACATCACCCTCAACTATATAAGACATTTTATTTGAAGCCTTGTTCTTTGTTGGACGGGACAGAGCACTTAATGCTCGAGCTGATTGAGTAGCAACAACTTGAGTCTTGCTAGTCAGAAGCTTCATGCAAGGAAGCACAATCTCATCAGTTGCAATACTATCACAGATGTCTTGTCTTGTGATAAACAAATCAGCTAGAACCGAAGCTGCATATTCTTGGGTTTCCTCATTCGATGAATTGAGGACCTGAACTAGAGATCTCAAGCCTTTATTAGCTGCAGAACCCTTTTGAAGGAGATCATTCTGTGAAGCCATAGTAAGAACATGACCTAAAACTCGGATTATGTGGCCCTTCGAGCTTGGAGAATCACCTAGGAGCAATGCTAATAGCTGATTAATTGTGGCTGAATCAGCTATTCGGACAAGCTTTGTGAGCGCCATAGCAGAAGCTTTCTGCCCTTTTGGTCCACCACTCTTCAGAAGCCACAAAAATGCCGGGATGGCTCCAGCACTTTCAACACAAGCACGAATATCTTCACTGTGACAGCACAAACTCCAAAGAACATTTGCTGCTTCCTCTCTTGCTTTCTGTGATCCTGTTTCCAACAACTGCACCAGTGGAGGAATCCCTCCAGCAGCAGTGATTGCCCACTTGCTGTCATCAACCTGGTCAGTTAAGATTGCTAGCAGCTGAACTGAGTACTCTTGATGCTGCTCACTTGATAATCCAAGCAATGATATTAATAATTGGATACCTTCTCTCTTTTTTATAGCCTCCCATACTCCAATCTTATCACAACACAAGGTTGTCAATGAAAGTATCAGATACTGTTGCACATCAGTGGCAGCCATGGTTATAAGTCCAATAAGAACCTTCTTTGAATCTGCCTGAATGAGCCACTTTGAGAGACAGATATTTCCGTAAAGGCTAGCCATAGCCTCAAGAACACGCTCTTGAATCAATTTGTTGTCTCGAGGCTTTAAAAGAGCTACTAGAATATCCTCTACCTGAGTTGCATCAAAATGTTTCTCATCAACACCAATTTTTTCCTCAAAGACCATTAGCGTATAAGCAAGGGCCCCAATTATATCACTGACTGGTGCTTCAAGGTGAGGAGAGCGCGAAAGTTCTCCAAGATATAGTATTAAAGCAGACATGCCACCACAAATATTGGCTAAAGCTTGAGTTGCATGCTCTTGTAGAGCCTGGCCACCATCGCCTTGCATACACTCATTAGAAGGAGCAACTATTGCTCCAATAAGGATTGGAATACCATCTGCATTAACGATGACCTTTTTAGCCTTGGTAGATTTTGAAGAGAGGGCCTCTAAGGCATCTGCAGCACTAGCTCTAACAGAAATGTCATTTTCCGGACCAACAAGCTGTAGTAAAGCTTTGACTGCTCCAGAATCTATTACTTTGGGGATACTATCACTGAATGCCAGCATTAAACGTGCCAATAGAGAAGCTGCATTTGACTGAGAAACAGCATTATCGGAGGACAAGAGCCCTACTATGATATCCACACCTCCAGCTTCTAATGTTGCTTTCCAGTAGCCGTCTTTGTCACCACAAAGATTTCTTAATGCTCCAGTAATGAAACCCTCCACAATTTTATCTTCCTTGTTCTTTGGATTTAGTTGATTCCATAAGGTTGGAACTACACCCTCTGTAACAAAAATTTTCATACCAACATGATCATCAGAAAGACCACCCGAGGAAACTTCATATATTGCTTCAGCTGCTGCCTTCCTGGTGTCCGTGGATTCATAATTTAAAAGTGACAATAATGGTGGGATACAACCACCAAGTAGCACTTTTAATCTCAGGTCTTCATCTTTGCACAGGACACTTAGAGTGGAAGCAACATTGACTTTTGCAAGCGGGGTTCCATTTCTCAGAATGTTTATGAACAATGGCATGGCTTGGGCATGAGAACCAATGAGTGTTCTAGCCTCCTTTCTTCTCCTTGCAATACAGAGCAAACGTGCTGTAATAGTTTCTTTCTCAACTGGTGATGACAAGTTGGCATGCAGTTGCTCCACAAAATTAGCAACTGTTGCCATTGTAGATTCTGGATCATCCATTCCCATTGCCTCTTCAAGTTCCCTGCATATATATTTATTGGCCACTTGTTAGTATCTATTTTCACATTAGCAAGTGTATGATGTAATGCCAACCTCAGATAAGTCATAACCAATCATCAGTTGAACATTAATGCTCTATTGGATAAATTTCACCATCAGCACTTATAATAAGAAAAAAATGAAACAAAATTCTTTTGTAAATTAAAACTAGCGAATACATAAGCTACTTTCTAGAAACTCACTCGTATTAGTTTCTCCAACAGTTTATTTTGACTTATGCACATTCTAATTTTAGCTTTACAAGAGAAACATATTTTATTTTTCCTTCTTATTATTTTCTCTTCATGTCCTTGTACTTTTATTTTTCCTTTCCAAAACAGATCATAAAGTACTTTTAGCACCAATTCATCACTAATGTTATTTGTAGTTTTTATATCAGACTTTCGTCGACAATAAATTCCTGATGAACAAAAACCAAAATTACTGACCCAGGCAGAGAGGCAGAATAAACGGACTGTCGCTGTTCATGAGAGGGAGACTTTGACATTTGCACCAATTCGCCAGTTTACTCTCCTTGCTTGTTGCCTGAAAATTTAATCATTCTATAAATTAAAACCAAAAATTCCAAAATACCAATCCACGTAAACAAACATTCTTACCAGGGAGAAATCTACCTTAAAACAAATAACCCAGTGCCAATTGCATCAGCAATATCAACAATATCACCCTAGCTAGACCAAATCCAAATGCAATCAACAAAATTTTACATTAAGGCTAAGTGATCCAAAATCCAAAAGCATCCAATCATTATTTCAGTTCCAATGTTCCACATTTTACATTGAAATCAAGGTTTTCAAAAAAAGGATTCGCAGCTATGATTTTGGCTGCAACTTCATGATGTTTTGAGTGACCGCAGTTGCCGCATCGGTCGCAATTGTCCGGAATTCCCGCAATCTCAAATGCAACAAGATAGCTATTGGAAAACATATTACACAAAACATTTCAGAACGCAGCACACTACAGAGCAAACAACGTACACATCAAAAATACACTGCCAAAAAAAAAAAAAGATCGGTTAAAGTCAAAAGAAGTAACCTTGCTGAAATGCAAATGCCGCAGAACTCCTCCCTCCTTCCACTACATCCGACCCCACCACATCCTCAATTCCCTTCAAATTCCCACGAAAGAAAAGAACAAATCAAAAGCTGAATGGAACTCAGATCTTCACAAGGAACAATTGAAGAAAATCAGATCCAACTAGCACAGATCGTCCACAGAAGCTAGGGCACAGTGTGTCAAGGAAAGAAGCGAATCGAATCAAAAATTCAAAATCAAGAAAATTAACTACTCACACATATTTATACCTCGAAATTCAGAAAACAAAAACGCGGACAAGCTGAACGAGAACAATGGGAATGGAGGCACAACGTGAACAGAGAGTAACTGAGAGAGTGTGTGAGAGAGTGAGTGTGTACGTATGTTTCTCAGTATTTTCCTTTACTTTCCATGGTTTTCTTTCTTCTTCTTCTTGTTTGTGAATGTTTTTCACTAATAAGTGAATTATTTGTTTATTTATTGTAATAATAATAATAATAACAATAAGTGTTTTTCTTACAATAATTATTAAATATACTTATGTTTAATAAAATTAAAAAAAATAGTTAATTTTTAAATTATTAATTATGTTATTAAATTTTTAATTACTATAATTTAAAATTTATTAATTTTATATTATATAAATCATTATTTTGTATATGTAGATTTAAATATTATTTAATAATATTTATGAAAAAAAAATTCATTAATATAATGACTTTAATATTATACATCTACAATTAGTTATATTTTTTCATAAAATCAAGTTTTTAAAATATTAAAATTATATATTACTTAATATTTTTTTCAATTGTCACTATTAAAATCTTAATAAAGTAATTAAAATTTTATAAAAACTAAATAAAATAATTTAGTTATATTAAATATAAATATTTATTATTTTTATTAAATGAAAAAACATATTTTACTTTCTTAATAATAATAATATAGTTTAGATTTGAGTTTTGACGGCACGTAGCATTTGAGGAGGTAAAATACGTGGCAGAATCCGGTTGTACTGAAGACTGAGTGAGTGACAGTTGGGTCGCCCTTCTTATTATTGCTTGCATCTATGACTATCAGTCCAATTTTAACCATTTTTTTTTCTTGCTTGGGATTTGTGCATTTTCTGGCTTTTACTATTAGTATTTAATTATTTCAAAACCTGCCACCCCGTTCTCATGCTTAATTTTATAGATAAAATATTTTTTTTTAATTTTAAAACATTAAGAGTACGTTTTGATAAAATTTTTCCAAAACATTTATAAGAAAGAAAAATATTAAAAAAATAAAATATTTTTTCATAAACTAAAATTAATTTTAAAACAAGTTAGGAAATAATAGGTTTTCTATAAACTATAACTATACCATTTTTATATTATAATTTGTTACAAATTTGTATTTAGGGATTGGTTTTATGTATAGATATTTTGTTTAGAATATTGTTTTCTAATAATGTCAAGCACGAGTTAAAATAGTGTAATGATTATGAATTTATAAAATAAAATAGTTTTATGTTTTTAATGTGTTGAATGATTGTATTAAAATTATTTATAATTAATATCAAACATCTTATAATGTAAGTTTATTAATTTTTATAGTAATTATCTTACATGTTATTTATAAGATTATTTTTTAAGTTTATAAACTATAAAAAAATATTTATATAATTACAACGTTGTTGAGTTACGTTATTACCACTACACATGTCACTAAAAGAATTTCAAAGTTAACAAAATTAAGACTTATTTGTTTACTGTTTTTTTTAAACAATTTTAAAAATTGAAAAACTCATTTGTTGAAAAACCTAATTTTTAATTTTTTTTAGTTTATTTTTAATTTTTAAAAACTCAAAAACTTTCACTTTTCTCTATTTACTTGTGTACTCATATTACTTCTAACTCTTCTCATAATAAGAGATCTCTCACAGGGGTTTATGTACTGTTTTTTTTAATATATTATATTTTCAATAAATTAATAATAATTAAATGATTAAGATTTTATTAATGTAATAGATTTGGTACTCTAATTTCGAGTTTATTCCAATATTTTGCTATAACAATTAATTATGTAAAAAAAATAAAAATATATAAAACTCATTAATTTGTAATCACATAAATTGGACATTCGCAGCAATACATTGGAAGACATTGAAGGGTACTTGGGAACAATGGCAGTGAATTGAAACATGCAAAACAAAAGTCACAAAACTATTATACTTGAATTGTACCCAGAAGCATGGTGGGTTCAAACTTTCCTCTGTTTGTCTGAAATCCTATGCAAGCTGCACCCTTTTCGGTCAAACTTTCATTCCACCATTATTATGACAGCATGCTATCGGCATTCCAACAACTATTTATCTCTGACAAAAGGAAAGAGAGTACTTGTTCTGGTGGGAACTAACTAACTACATGCCAATTATATATTTTCCTTTTTACTTTCAACTGTTACTGTCAAATTCATTGCTGCACATGCATGGTACCTTTTATTACCTCAGTTGTGAATGACTTAACAATGTTAATTGTTACTCATTTTGTATGAGATCAGTGGATATGTATCTTGTATTAGAAATCATCCTTCTTATACCACTTGAAATCTTATATATAGACAGTCCAGAAAGAGAGTTAACAGAAGATTGAATTAACAATGAAATAATTACAGTATTATTAGTGGAGTGGATCTATTATTTGGAGAAGCAGGGTTAAGTGGAGCCTACACAATAGAAATGTAGGAGAGAGAGAGAGTTGATGAGAATGCATGAGGTGTTGTGTGTGTGTGTGAACCGTGGTTAATATTAAAAGGATGGGACGAGGAATTGATTGAATTTGGATGGTTGTGAAGAAAATGACACATGCTTTGCTTGGACTCACAAGTGAGTGAGTGAGAGAGTGAGAATTATTATTGTTTATAGCACAGGTCTGTTTCAATGGATCCATCAGAATCTACCATTGCTCCATCTGCATGTGCCTCAGGGCACCTATTTTGACCCTTGTTATTAATTACCACCCATGAATGCATGTTTTATAGTATATATGTTTAGAGAGATCATCAATCTTAATGTCTTATCAGATCATGAATCAAAACATATAATCACTGTTCTTCTTTTTTATAGATATATATATTATGTATATTTTCAGACGATCGAACACTAATTATCACTCACAATTGATTAGTAAATGCAAACAGTTAACCCCTTTTGATTAATTTCATTGTCGTTCTACGAAATGTATTTTTTACTATGTTGAAATTTTTCTTAAAATGTATAAACACAATTTTCTTTCAAAGCAATTCAAGTCCCAGAACACTGCCATCATTCATGCTTAGATTTTGACATGTTATTTGTCTCTTTCGTAAAAACAAATCGTTTTCCTTGCGAAACTCATAACTATTTGGGCCATTAACTTTTTTTTTTTTTTCTCATAACACTATTACCCGTACCTCGCCATTTTAAAATTCTTCTCACCCCCTACACTTTTCCTTCTTCTTACACCCCACCATCTACTTTCAGCACTCCTTTCTCCCTTATTATTTGAGTCATGGATCACTGGAAAAGTTTAGTAGAAGAGTCAAGTTTAAATACCTTGTTGCATATCACAATAACCACATCTACATCATATACGCATAATATATAGAATTTACTTTCCCTACATTCACCGTTGGATTTACATCAGTCACTGGGTCAATAGTGGGTGCACAACATTGAAGTGCCCATAACCTTTCAATTCTACAATTCTTCCCCACTCAAAATACCAATCCTCATATCAACAAAACAATGCATCAATTTAAGTGTATTAAATCAATAAATTATTAACACATCATTAACTAAGTATCATTAAATAACTCCACATTAATGCTAATGATGTATTAATATTTCATTAATTTAATACACTCATAATTCATCATGTTCAATTGTTCATATGAGATTTTTTTTCCCGTTTTTCGATAATATCACGTACGAGCATGGAGCTTCCATTACTCGGTATCATGCTTCCGTTCGATGCAGCCACTGCAAAAATCAATGCATGCGTTTTACGACGTCGTCTGGGCGCCTAATTTTATGTTCAGAATGGCTTCGAGAGGTACATGAAGATATCCTGCAGCGGCGACATCTGATTCGCGCTCTCGAGCTGAGACGCTAGAGTGGCATCCACGAAATACGCCAACTCGTTGTTGCTCCTCTTTGGCTCGCTCTGCACCTCGCTCGCCAGCTCCGCCGACACCACCTGCTCGGAGGAGCTCGAGTCCGTCATGTGCAGCCGTGGCACTGAGTCCGACGCCTCGAAGTACACGCAGTCTGCCACTGTCGACGCCAGCGGCGGCGCAATCGCCGGTTTCTCGTCCTCTAGTTCGGAACACTCAATTTTGAGCGGTGGCTGCTTCTCAATTGCGCCTTTCTTGTTGTATATGCGACAGAGCACCCAGTCATCCAGCTGCAAAATCACAACCATCCAATTACCTCATCAATCATGTGCACATATTTTTCATCTAATTATTTATTTATTACTTTCACTAATTTTTAATATCCCAACTTTATCTAGATAAGAACGAATAATTTCCATAAATAGATCCCAATAATTTGTTGGCCTAATTTTTTTTTTTACTTTTCTTGTGATTCGTCTTTATCGAGTTATCTTTATCCGAAGCTTCTCGGTGTGCGAACCAATGGACCAGTACCATTTATCGAAGGATAAAAGGTAATTTCTTTCTAAGAAATGGCTATTATGCCCTTCATAGTGAAGAGGGATAAAAAGGGTATATTGGTATATACCCACCCTCAAGCTGTTTTTTTTGCGAACGGAACGATCCACGTCGGCGAGTCGATACTCGTGCATGATCCAGTTTGTTTTCTCTCCCTTGGGCGCTTTTCCAGCGTAAAACACCAACGCTTTCTTGATCCCAACCGGCTTCGGTTTACCAATCGGTTTATCCGCTCCGGTTGCTTTCCAATACCCGGTTCCGGCGGACCGGTTCGGCCGGGAACCGTTGGGGTACTTCCGGTCCCTCGGCGAGAAAAAATACCACTCTTTCTCTCCGTACAACGCCATTCCTGTGTAAAAAAAAAAAGAATTATTAACCATTTCACAAATAAAATACTAATTAAATAAGTAATTTGAATATAAAAATGACCTGGAAGGTCCCAAGGGTCGTATTTGTAGAGGTCGATTTCGGCGATGATGGGAACGGCGATTTGTTGGTTGATGCACTTGCGACAGAGGTAATGAACGATGAGTTCTTCGTCTGTGGGGTGGAATCTGAATCCTGGGGGAAAGTGAAGCTGAGGTGCGGCGGCCATTGTTGTTGTTGTGGAGGGAGAGAATTGGGAAACTATGGTGGCGGCGTTTGAAAGTTGGAGCGAGAGGGAGAGAGGGGCATTTATAAGGTGAGGAAAGGGTAGGGTTTGGGGTTGGGGTGGTGAGAGGAAGGACACGTGTCGAGCATGTAAGTGTGGTGCGTGCGTGTCGAGAAGTCACAGGAAAGGGTTTAGTCACTGCTTACGACATTGTTTGGAATGGGGCGCCGTGTCTGTTGTCGGTTCAGACCTACCCCTTTGTTTTTCCTAGGGATGCGCATTGTCTCCGGGCACGATTGTAATTTTATCGTATTATATCATCAATGCATAGGTAAAATTTTTATTTTTTTAATGTTTTAAAATGCTTACTAAATATAAATATAAAGTATATTCAAAAGACTAAATCATCCTTACATATTTAAATGAACTTGATATTTAGCCCGTAGTATTGATACGTGGAAAAATAGAAAGTTTGTAATAGTTTCAAATCTTTTAAAAACATAATTCGAGAAAGGTGATGAAGATTTTATTACTTACAAATGGTTGGTGAAAATTGAACCATAGATAAGATAGGCACGTCATTCTGACGTGTCATTTCTAATTTGTGCACTCCTTACTTACATACTGTTCTACACAGTTCTTTGTAGTACAATATATTTTGATGGTCAACACCTAAATTATATTTTTTTCTTTTTTTTGTTCATTTTACTGAACTTCAAGTATAAATATTTTATTATAATAAATAGATGTTTACATTTGTAATAATAATATAATAAGATAAGCATTGACCTGCGATAGAGACACGTACACCCTTACGTGGCAGTGGTTATCCTACAAGTGTCCTTCTGTCTTGTTATTCTTCATTTTCTCCTGTACGGATTTTATTGTGTAATGGGTTGTCACAACTTTTTTCATTTAATTCGAGATTTCGGTGAAATCATTTATTTAATCATACAAGTATAATATTATGTCATAATATATGACATTATATAAAAAAATATTATGTTTTAAAAATATAACACAAATTCATTCTCGAAATATATTAAATTTAATTTCTTCACCTTAAACTACTATCCAAATAATCATATCCAAGACTGATTATATAAATCTCTAACCATAATCACTTAATAAGTTCACTCACCCAAAACTTGACGTTTTACACAAGATTATATATTTATAATTTTTTTGTTAATATATAATCATCAAATTCATTGGATTTCCTGATTAAGTTTAATACGTATAAAAACATAGTGTTTGTTTTATTTCATATAAATAATATAGTGACTGAGTACAAAAATATATTATTAGTTTGATGTGTTAAATAAAAATATAATTTTTTTAATGAAATTTTATGTAAGTAGTTTAAGAATAAGAAATAACTTATCTATAAGTTAATGTTAGTTTATTAAAATGATGAATTTAATATTTTTTTATAAATGTTTAAAGCTTGTATATTTATATATATATAGAGAGAGAGAGAGGGAGAGATAAAAATTATTTAATTCTTCTTTTTTTTTGTAATTTTCGAATTAACTTGAAGATGACCTTAAATATAAAATGTTAAAGGTTTTAAAATATAAAATTTAATTAGAAAGTGAGTAATTAATGTGACCCTTAAAATATTAAGGGTAGGTCTTAGTCTTAAAATAAATTTCTCGTCAAGCCTTTTAAATCTCCCATCACCAATTATTATAGTCCACACATTAAGTGATGTTAGGCAAGACCTATGCAAAGTCCATGATCGATAAATGTGTGAGGAAAGCGACTTCAGCTGTGTTTTCATATTTTAGGTTGTTGTGTTTCATAATCTTGTCTCTTAAACCTACATGTGATTATATGTTTGATATTTTTATATCTACATATGAAAAAAAGATAGGAAAGCATTGATCTCCAATTTAACAAAAAAATAATTTTATAATTGTATCTACTCGGTCGTATCAATTAAAATAATTTTATTTATTTAATATTATCTTATTAATTATTATTATATATATATATATATATATATATATATTATTTTATATAATATTTATATCAATTATTTTTTTACTTATTTTTTAATTCTATATAAAAAAATTTAATCGGAGAATAAATTTCATCTCCTTACTTATTCTTAAATACATTAGTCTCTTGTTTAAAAATTGACTTAACCATATGAGCGTATTTTTTTATAGGTATTTTTAAATGAAACTATTTTCAACATTTTTAAAGTCACAACTTGATATTTGATCCACCAATTTCTTCACACATTTTTACCGATCTTTATTAATCGATGTGGGTCGGTAAAATGACCCCGAGATCTTTTCCATGATCCTAATTTGGAGGTAAACGATATCATATTCAAACGATAATATCAAATGATCTCGAGAAACATATAGATGAATGTCAATAAAGAAATCATAAAGAGATAAAAAATATGCAAAAGTATTGCAATGTTAAACTATGCAAATTTAATAAAAAATAATAAAAGATTTGAAATTAGTTTAAAATAATATCGAGTCAACCTCAAAACTTTACAAAATGAAATAAACATCCTCATTAAATTATCTCGATCAAGCAAGTCGAATTTACAATTAGAAGATACTACATCGGGTTAAGCGTGAACCTAACCATCATTGGTGTCGACCATCAAAACACACATGATAATCCAAAATAAGAAAAAACAAAAAGTCAACCTAAACACAGATTGGAAAATCTTTTCAGATACAATGTTAAGCTACCAAGTCAAGTAGTAAGGAACTAGTCAAGGGAGAATACTTGACGAGAACACACTAATAAAGCAATGGTTGAACTCCCACCTTGGAGTTCTCGTTAATAACTTACAGGTGAAGTCTCACCTCAACATCATCCTACGCACTCTTAAAAGCATACATGAAGAATTGAAATATGCAAAGAGAATAACCTTCATTCATTCATTCCAAGAATCATGGAAACTCTCATTCCAACTAATAGGGAACCATTCATGCTGGAAAAGTATGATGGCTTGACAGATCTAGATGTCCATTTAACAATGTACAAAGCATAGATAAATTTGTATAACAATAATGGAGCAATCTTATGCCGAATATTTTCCACTATGTTACAAGGATCGGTCTTACAATGTACAACTTTACCACTATAACTCATTGATTCATAATACATGTTAGCATAGAGGTTTCGAGTTAGGTTCACAAGTAGTAATATGTACAAAGCCACATTTGTGGCTTTAGAAAATGTGAAACAAGACAAGGGTGAATCCATTCACAGTTTCAAGGAGTGATTTGTGAAAGTATCAAATTTTATACTGAATTTACACTCGATCGTTACCTTTCACGCAATACAAGTTGTTCTACAGATGATACCTTTGATAGATAGTTGTTTCTGTTAGACAAATGATATCTAGAGGGGGTGAATAGATGTACAAATTAAAATAGATGTCAAATTAAAAATTTATTTTAAGATGTCCAATATTTATTAATTCAATTTTAATTATCAAATTGAACAAAGATAAAATGGAAGCGATATAATCAGAGAGATAAATATCAACAAGATAGAGAAAGATAGAGATGAAAATAAAAGGTGTAAGGAGAGTAATACAGTAAAAAATGGATAAGGGAAAAAGAAAAGCAAACAGTTTATACTGGTTCGGGTATAGTAAATCCTACATCCAGTTCCCAGTCAACTCTTAACACAAGAGTGACCCCAATTCACTATCTTTTAAATTCAGTTCACAAATTACAATCAACTCAACAAAAAGTAAATTAATTTAAAAGACAATCACCTCCATAAAAACTCACTAAGGATGAACACCTCCCTAGAATCTCACTAGGGATGAACACCTCCTCTGAACAAATCAAAGGATGAACACAGCTCCTTAGAATCCCACTAAGGATTAACATCTCCCTAGAAACCCACTAGGGATGAACACCTCCTCTGAACAAATCAAAGGATGAAAAAATCTTCCTGAACAAATCAAAGGAATGAATAGTTTCCATACACGAAACCCAAAAAAAAAAATACAACAGAATGACAATGACTACTTAAACCCTAAATAGTGAATTTAACAATTAAGCACTTAAGCTCACAAAGGATGAAGATAATAAAATAAAAACAGTCACACCTGGGTAATGGAGACAAGAAATTGTAGAAACCTGTAGAATGTCAGCCTCCAAGAACAAGTGTGATTAACAATGAAAGCACAATAGGCAATGGAGAAGAGAGTTTTGGTAAAATATCTTTGTGGCAATGGTGAAGGGGGTTTACTCAAAACATGTAAAATATCTCTGTTGCCTTGTTCAAAATTCTTTTCTCAAAACTGTTTGAATGTAAATTATTTTTTCGAATTCTGTAATTGTGTATATTTTATTTTCCATCAAAACTTAATTAAATAGAAAAATAGTATCAGAAAATAGTCGTTGGTCATTAATAATATCATAGAGAAAATCAGGATGTATCCAAAAATATTTATTCTTCAAAACGGATATATTTTTCAAATTTGAATTGCCATAATTGATTATGTTACCAGTATAATCAATTATGATAGATAAAATCATTTTTCTATTTTTGATGCATCATAATTAATTATGACAGTGAAAAATATCATGTTATAAAATTTTATCACACTTGTACTTTGGAGGTTTATGCATAATATCATTTCATCAACTTGTAACTCCATATCCATTATTCTAAGATTCTATCTAGTCTTCAGGAATCATCTTGTGCTTGCTTGAATCATCATCTTTATCAAAATTATATCTTGGGCATGTAAGGAAATGTTTCACATTGTCACCAACGTCTTTAATTCAGCTTATCATTAATTCATCTTGATGTCCTTAATTCAATTCATCTTGAATGGTGTTGACTTGAATGTAGTTAACTTGAATCATCATCAAAATCATCTCTTGAAAATGTAGGGACATTTCCATCAATCTCCCCCTCATTGCTTTCAGTTTCACCTTTCTATTGAGATCCTTTGACGAGCTTAATGCCCAAGCGGCTAATTATATCTACATGAAGGATAATAA